GACTATTAAACAAACTCAGATTAATCCATGGACTATTAAGCTCATTTTCTTTCTCAATAAATTACTGTTTACTGTCTCACACGTCAGACAAAATGACTTCTGTTTGTACAGATGTTAAAAGCAACGAAGGTTAAAATCGGAAAATATTAAATACCCGTAAGTCGTTCACTCAAGTAATGGTTTGCAGACGAGGAATAAATTGCTATACTTTATAGTGAGTTCATTAATATACTATTTTCGTAAACAAAAACAGTACTCAAAATCTGAAGATATTTATAACAGAATGGTTATCAGAATGGGTAAATATGTGATGTATTCTTCCGTAAGGAACGGAGGTAAGTATCATCATGGTTCGTCTTTAAAGACTATAAATCTTAATAATAATGGGTCTTATACATCCGCCTTACGTTCTACCAAGAATGAACCGTTGTTCTTACTGAGTACCAAAGATGTAATATTAAGTATTTACCTGGACTAAAATTACTATATAGGTTCCTATGGAACATCTGAAATGAAATACAAATGTAGGTGTAGATTTCATTTGCTACAATTACTGTATGAAGTTTCGGTTCAGTTAAATGACTTTTACACAGATTGAAATACAAATGAAAATAATAAACTGAACCGTGATATTTGTTTTTCTAATTTAAATTAATAACGCGGAAAAGTCTGTATTGCTTTGCTATTAACTAGTTCCCGACAAGAGATTTAGAAGTTCGTAATAAATTAAGTGTAATCGTTTGAACTGTATAATAAAAGTGTTACGACAACCACATTATGAATCTAGGTTATTAAAACTCGAGTACGAGGCTTTGTATATTATTTGTAAATGTTTGTTTGAAATGAAAATTTTACTGATCTCTTCCGCATACAATCTTATATTACTATCACTAATGCCTCGAGTAAACTTTCTTGTACGATTTTTCTTTGTAAGAGTAAAGAATTACCTGCCGTTTTTATTTATGTCTTTAACTTTGTATCAATTTATTTTGATGAAGAATACAGGAACACAGTGAGATTTACTTTTTATGTAGGCCAATGCACCGTTATTTGAATTAAGGGAACAGTCACGTCTTGTCAAAAACATTTAGGTCGATAATTGTGTAAATCTAACTTATAATTTTCAACGTATTAAATAAATGGAACAAATATCTACTAAATTGAATAAAAATGTACTAAAACTAGTTTACATTTCTACTACAAAAGTGTTTGGAGAATTAACTTCTTCAGTTTTCATACTCATTATAAAATTATAATCATGACTTTTTTCCGCATATAACTACTAAAATTACATGTCACGTTATTTCCTCAAAGTTATATAAGTTTTATGATAAAAAATAAACGGTAAAATGACAATCATAAATAGTTTTAATTGGAGTACATACACACTATGTTCTTTGTCAAGCAAATATGAATGTTATGTACGAAGACATAGAGATAAATAACGTTTCCATGGTATCTATAATAATAGGTACACGTGTAAACAAGAACGTGCCAATTGTGATAAAAGTAGTGTTTAAAAATGTTGTATCCTTGTAGTTGCACGCAATCATTAGCAAGATTGTAATATTCAGGATGATGTAGAAATTAACTAAATGTATGATGACTGGCCAGATAAACGAGATTATATAATACATTCTGTACAAAAAATTGAAATTTCTCAGGTATTAGGTATACGACTTCTATAGTTTTGTCGCAGTAAAATGTGGTAACGTTGTATATGATCACCTCCACTTACTCCTTTGGAGATTGAAAGGCGTTAGTTGTGTTTTTTAAACAATAGTTTAAACTAATTACCTACATGCGAATATTTAGAAAAATATTAATATTAAATGTTAATTGATTGTGTCAATCAGTAATAAGAAAGGTTTTCTTCCCCCACAATAGCTACATGTCCTCAAATATTTGTAAAGTGTTGATAATATTTGCACGAAACATTCAACAAATCAGATATTTATTCTGGCTGTAAAAGTGTTTAAGGGCTTTCTGTGAGTGCTCAAATTATTTATTATCACAACATCTAGAATATGTTTCATCATTATTCATTAATTTTCCATATTCAAGACATTAAGGCAATTGGCACCAACTTTATTTTGACTGCAACCGAGATTCAATATCAATTAATTGAAAACCACGTTTTACGTCCACGTGCCTCTCGAATCGAAGATTTCCATCAGAACTGATGTGATGAATAATTTATGGCACTTACTTGGAGAGATGTCAACTTTCTTTGTGACCAATCGAGGACTATTATCGAATATTCGATCGAATATTTATAGACGGAAATGGTCCTATGGATATATTATAGTCTTAGATAAACGTGGGCGGTACAGGTATCAGACAAGTAAGACATCGACATCTGAAATAGACTTCACATAAGTATTTTAAACATTTAATACTAAATATTATTATAGAATTATCTAGAGTAGGCAGAAAACTTTACTTACATTAAACTATTAACTACTTAAGCCTTGTTAATTATATGAACATTATGATTATTGTGTCTTCACACAAAATATTTGCAGTCACAATAGTCCATAACGCAATAAAATATTCACAACACGATGTATTTAATATCGAAGGCATGTAGCAACAATACCACATTGTGTTTTATCTTTATTTTGACTTTTGCAACGGTACAATGTACCGTTTTCTCTAAATTATCATTTTAAAACCGGCACGGCCGCCATTTTCCTTTACTACGTTTCATTTTATACATTTTATTGGTTGTTATCGTATACAGAATAGGCTATAGGGAGTTATTTTCTAAAACGATTGATTTCTGTCTCATACATTATTAAATACTGTTCTGTTCTTGCATTGGCGTCGACGCGTACGAATCTATAGAGGTCAGATGTCCGCAGACTGTCCTCATTCCGCTCGCTTCAACATTAAATTTAAATCATGCCTTGAACTTGAACCAAACTCGAAGTAAAGATTACAAACATTAGTAGTAACTGTTGTTTGTAGTACATAATGAACATACATTCTTGAATTACTTATCTAACTCAATCAAACGTGTAATAACACTCGACATTTTAAAGGAAATCGTATGTGTTTGAATATAATAATTGAATTACGTATCGTCCTTAAGAAACTTCGAGGAGAAGAGTAAGTATCAATTCATTTGAGTGGTCGCCATTATGTCTCTGCGCAGACAGAGTTCTCATCTGCCACCTCCGAGTTCAGTGATACAAATACATTGTCTTTGTCAAAGTTTTTATAAATAATCGTAATAACAATGAATCAAATCTCATACGATATGACGTTGAATATAAAACTATCAACGTTGAATGTTTACCACGGGATGGTTGGAAAAGTCTGGAAAGCGTCGGTCTACATTCACATCAAATAAGAGGCGATGAAACTCCTCTGTCACTTATCTTATTTATATTTAGGCTAACGTGGCGCGATCATCGGTGTACGTTTATTTAATCTGTGCAAAATGAATTATTGGTATGACGTCTTGCAAACATATTTATTTTAAAAATACAGCAGTCGTATCAGACTGTCTGGCGAACTGGGGTCTGCGTGAATTGGCCAAAGGTGACATGTCCAATCAAATATAAAGACCTACTCCGAAAATTTCTTGGAAACACTTCAATGGTCTCATTTTAAAGTTTTCACCCAAAAGAATATAGGTTATTTTGACGTTTATTGCATAGTTTGTAAATCATAAGATTTTCTAAGCAATAATATGTTAATCTACAAGGATATTAATGTAGTAGAAATCTGTTTGATCCTAAGTTTATTCACCCGGAGAATACGCCATGTTTTATGTTATTATCTTCTGTTAATATTGACATAAATAAATTAATAATACCTTAGTCTACAAGCTGATGTTAGCCGAAGAAAGTGTTGTTTACGGAAGTCTTAGCGAAGGAAGTGAAACTCGTTGCTTTAGATAGTAAATCTTCTAATAATTACTCACTATGTCTTATGATTATTATCTTGTATAATAAACAATAATATTATGCAAAGGTTTAATATTCATAAATTGTTATTCTATGGCTCGGAAATGATTGTAATGGAATCCAATGAAAGGGGCATTTAGGTTGAATTTGTAATGTAATCCATTATAACGCAGGTAAATTAGGGATTGTCAGATAGATACTCAATTATTTTTACTATACGAGTATCGTATCAATATTATTAGGTACAATATACTATCATAAAAAAATCTCATAACCTCAAAAATAGCTATAGGTATTCTAGCGGACCACATAAGAATAAAAGCTAATACTTTTGACTCGGAAGAAGCACTTTATGTAAGTACTCAACCAACAGTGAGGTACATATTCCAAACGAAAGCAGTTTTCTCATTTCTTAACCTTTAATTATAAAAAGTTGACTGTACTTTAGCCGTGTCTACTGTCTACGTCGTAGAAACCCAATTATTCAACTAGTGTTAAACATACAAACACGTAATTAATTTCATGATAATTAAAAACTCGAAAGGTTTTTAACCCGACACGGTTCGGTTTTATTTTAGACAGTCATTAAGGTACGATAACGATTAATTTATATATAATTCGTGTGAAGAAACTAATAGCTTAATAAAGGGGATATAGCCATTTTGTTTGGGCTAAAAATAATAGTTTTTTTTAAATTGTGGCATCACTTACTATAATGATCATATAGATTAAGATAAAAGAATGCTTCTTCTTTGGACTTATTTTAAATGATGCTATATTTTTGTAATTGTATTGAGTCATTTCAATTATTTATTGAACATTAAAAACCTTTTGATTATTGGGTGAACATCTATTCTGTTTTAAAATTAAACAGTGATGATAGAATACAGACCCCTCTAAATCGAATTAACTATATGTAGGTAATATTTAATACGATAAAACGGGGTGAATAGAATTCGAGTGTGAATAGATACAGAAGAGAGGTAACTAAATGTTGGAAAAATATTCTAACCACTTATCCACCCCATTCCTGTATCTATTCACCCCCTTGAACTCTATTCACCCCGTTTTACGGTACATAATGTTTTACGTTTTACCATTCCCGGAAACTATTTTGGTAAGGGAATATAAATTACATGCACTCAAGTGTAAACACGTATAAATACAATTAAATTTACGATCGTGTACTAAATTAAGGGGAGTCGGGAAAGCTCCTTTATACCATATGTTCATGTTTGAAGGTTGAAGATGCATTTGCAAATACGAGACAACACGTCTGCTTCGAATCTCGTGGTAATTCCTGTTTATGTAGCTATGAAAATCGTGTTCATGATTCATGACTTGTTTGTTTACTGTCACGTTTACATAGATATTATATTTATTCATAAATACTATTATTAACTTACCTAGGAGGTTATAATAAAAACATGGATAAAGGAAAATTGTCTATTGTATTTAATTTGTGCAACAGTGATTTTCCGAGGAAATGCTCAATACAAAGAATTGAGTCATCATTCACCTACTTATGGTCTTAGTAGCGGGTTTAATGTACAGCTGCCATTTAGGGAACAAAAGGAGATGCCTTATCATTTTCCTTAATGACACAGACCATGTGATTTCCCAACGATTATGTTCCATACCAAAAAAATATTCTTAGTATTCTATGTAGGTTAAGCGACATACAATATTCGTAATATCATATTTCGTAACGATTCACGTCCGATTTTTTCTCAGTAAACTAACTGTAACTGCGATGTTGGCACACAAAAAGCATAAATCAAATTCGAAAAAAACTTAGCACCAATAGATCCAACACTATTTGTGCATATGGAACACATCAGACGTCCAATCGTTACGATCAAAGATGCGGCTAATTCGGGCACGTTACCAATCTGATTCGTAAATCCATCACATCGATTACTATAATCGATTACAAATCAAATGCAACTGACCAACTTTTGATATCGATTCATCAAATCGAATGTTTTGTGTTTGCGAGTTTGTTCACCTGTTTGTTTGTGTGTCTCGTTCGAGTTCAGTGACTCACAATAAAACGGTCCTCTCGTTAATTTCGTACACGGACACATTTGAGACGATCTTAGTCTTGGCTGTCTTAAGACCTATCTCTCTCTTATTTTATAGCAGTCTTCCATTTCTGTGCCATAATATGCACCTTCATGTTCGGAGTCATTACTCCTCAACCTTTGCTTACAACGCCAGTACCCAATAAACATAAATATTTTACTTTATATGAATAACAATTTAGAATGGGTCAGTTTGATCGGCAACTTTAACTAACATTTCAAAACACAATTGTAAACACAAACACATTAACGTAGATGAAACGAAAAATTTAAATTCAATTTTCGTAAATATTTCTTGAATTTTTGATCTGAACAATAACGGTGGATGTCCAGTCAGTCATGGAAATCAAAATCAGTACCGAAATAGACAATCATTCAAACAAGACTGTGCAATAAACGATACAAGTTACAATGTAGGATTACAACTGTAGTCAATCGTCATGTTTCTCACCTTCATGTCAAATAAATATTTACTTTCATATCAAAACGTTTCTTCAGAAGTTTTGTGTTGCTAATGTTGCGCAAAAGCTTAAGGTAACAAAATTAACTGAACTGATTCTCTTTCTTACTCTGAAATATACTATCTAATCATTTTGTTAACGATGACTAAGCTTTCTACCAGAAACTGGGATAAGTACTTAGGTACAATTTTAATATTTAGTACCTACTCACGAAACGTAAAATGTTCGCGAAAAAATGCAGCAAAATTTAACAATCATTGGTAAATATTGGACGACTTTATCCTAGGTATTAAGACATAATATATTATTTTATTTGTAGGTACACCTAAATTATTCTGGCCACCCAAATGTTCCCAGAATCTGTAAATTGATATTTGCAGCCATCAAAAACGAAAAAAGTAAATTAGGTGCGTCCTGTCTTCATTTCTTCATTTCAAAACGGCTTAAACTGTTCATCACATAAAATTTTCCCGGGAACTTCATATTCTAAATCATGTTTTAGTGGAAAGTTAACAAAAATCACGACGTTATGAGCCGTGACAATTTATTTATTAGTAATAACTCTTCAGTGATGCGACTATTAGACTAGAAACGCTTGCCACACAGAGACCCAAATGTCAGCATTGACGTCACATGGGGAGTAGCTACCGAACTAAATATACTAACTCGTTAACAGAGGTGGAAGTATGAAGCGTGTGAGGTAACAGCCGTTAAATGTAATTTCACTGTGACCTTTTCATAGGACCTCACCTATCGTTTCACCTAATGACAGCTTGTTGAATAATGTCTTTCTGAAGTTCACTTATGTATACAGAGTGGGTGGACATTTGAAGGTTATTTTATAGACAAGGCTGTTCTAAAAATAATATAATTGTTATTTGTCATGTTGTTATGTTATTAAATATTTTATTACCTATGTCTAGCTGTTGAGGAGTTTTCGGTTAAAAATATCGGTATTATATTTTCGGTTGGTAGTAATCGTTGTAAGAAAGAGTACTGTTAAAAAGGTGATTTTAAAGTTGTTGTGTGCCATATCATCAATTAGCCTAGTCGCAATAATAAATGTATGTAAACAGCTACTTAAAAAAGGGGAAAAACAAACTTGTTTTTATGTTACCGTGTTTGTCGTGACAGTTGAAATCAATACAGATCAAGATGATATCTATAGGTATTGCGAAAAACGCTTCTAGGACAAAGAATACGATATGGTCGTAATTAACTATTTTGCGTAACAATAAAATAAAAACAAAGATTCACTGTTTAAACAACATCAAGATTATCTTATAAAAACTGTAGGAAAATATCAGAATTCGAGGAAAATATGACTAATCCAATTCGCTTCAAGTTTTTGTATATATCTCTTAAATTGCTGTCATTTGTTACGTAACTAAAAGTCGGGGATTTTTCTCAAAGAGGACGAAAAAACCAATTTTTCAACCATCCAATTAAAATATTTGTGGATTCCACGTATTTAGGTTTATTTTTCCAACAAAATATATTAAGAATTAACGGTTTGAATTATCATTTTTCTTGAAACCTTAGAAATATTTTAGTGAATACAATTCAAGTAGGTATAAAAAACACACATCATATACATTTGATGAACACAACAATGTACTAAAGTACAATAAAAAGTCTGAATATATAAAATCTAAATAATATTTTTTTAGAACAGAACTCCGCTCTATTGCACAAGACCAGACATTCAAATTTATTTATTAGGAATTAAAACATTAGGAATGGGATTAAACACTCATTTATATTATTTCAACACACATAGACCAAAATGCAGAGACGCATCCAGAGATGCGTTCTAAAAAAACCTAACCAAAATAGTCTGGCAGTAGATGTAGGGCGCTTCTGACGTCATTGGTAACCCACTCTCGAAATGCATCGTCCCTTCCGACGTGGTACACGTGTGACCTAATTAAATTTTATTGCTTGCTTTGTAACTACCCTGCCGATGGGTGATCATCGACTCCATTTGAGATGTTTCAAATTTGAAAATAATATCCATATAACCTATCTGATTGTCAAAAGACGCTAAATTGCAAATTCATTTTAATATCGTGTTTTTTGAAAAGTGAACGTTTTTATATTGTATATTTCGACTGCATAACATGTTAATATTAAAATGTTTAGTGCCTTGAGTTACTTATTGTAAATATTTTAAAAATAAGTGTACATAGTATTTTACAAGTTTCAATAATATAAAATCTAGTTTTGATCAACGATAATACAATGAAAACGAACGCTCAAAGATTTCAATTGATTTAATGTCAGCTTGTACAATCAATCGTCCGAATCCTCAAGACCAGAGGATCTTTGTTTATGATTTACTACTGCATAGATTTGCAGTCAAAATATTGCGTGAGTCACGTTAAATAGTTAGAACTAAGTGTATTATTAACCATAGGTTAGTGTTTATCTTAGATACTGCGAAAATATTTTTACTAGTACAAAACATAGACTACGTACGTACTTGTGAAATTTCAAAAATAGTAACAAACTCGACAAATATATCAGCTAATTGCGTGTGCGTAAAACCAATGAGTATTGCGTAAGCCCTATCATTATCGACATAAATCTTCGTATAACTGTACAGGTTAAGGTTTTTCTTCGAAATGTATGTTATCTTAATTTCAACAACGTTTTCAGTTCAGGTGTAAATTCAACAAAACTGTTTAATCGATCGGCGATTTATATTCAACATTTTATAAACCGATTTATTTTCGGACCCTTTACGAAACAGATGTGAGTGAAAATACGGGATTTTAGATAATCTGTACGTCTGTACCAGTATTACAAATGTTAAATATATATATGAACGCATCTTTGTCACATCTTTGACCGATTTCATTTAGATGAAAGACACAGAACAAAATTACCTATACTTAGTTTCCAAAAGCACATAATGAAAATAAAATGTGTGATTCCTATGAGACATATCAACACGGATGAAGATGCGGTACAACTGGTATATTTAAATACAAGGCTAGTTATTATAATTGATATCATTGTCGTCACACTTCTGCCATGTGGCTTGCCATGTGCTTTGAATGCCAATGTACCATAAAAGTACTACTATTTGTCTATGAACATTAATTCTCGCTTTCCCTGCCAAAATGAAATGTTCTAAAATTGTCTGTAAGCTATAGTTTAGTACGCTATTAGATTAAATTTAATAGGTATTTAGTTTCATTATGGCTGCAAGTTTTCCATGACGAAATGCTTAGACATTTATTTGTCTCACATTTATTGGCTGTATTTGTAAAATCGTCGTTACTATGTATACGCTTATTTTAATTTGAGACTAATTATCTTTTTATTTGACAATTTTTGAGAGAAAATATCACATATTAATAGTTATTTTCGTAGTTTATAGATGTAGAACAGTAAACTCGTTTTTCTCTTTAGTGTAATAAATCCTATTTTAGCCTGAAATAGTGTAATACACCTGCTTAATATTACAGTACAGGAGATAAAACCATAGATCTCTAAAACAATCTATCACTCATACAAAGCATATACTTTATCCCTCAGAATCACATGAATTACAATACAATTTATATGGAAATCGTGATTTTTGCAGTTCTATGATATTTATTATCAACAATACAAATCACGACTAACGATATTTTCTTAGGTTTTATGTTGAAAGAAGAAACCGTGGATTGTCTATTGTTTTTCTTGATCACGCGCAACTTGTTAAGTGGTGAGATGACAAATGACATTGTTCAGTGTTTACCTCCTATATTTAGATGTCCGTATTGCTAATTGGTTCTTTGTATTTTGTATTTCCTTAGGTTTATTTACTTTCTACTTATTAGAACTGTAAAAT